CAGCAGCTTGACTGCATATATTATGTATTTATTAGAAAACAATTTCCATGGAAGAGTCTCCTGAAACTTGATGACTTCCTTCTTTATCTTATGAGTTTTCCTCTTAATATGATTTCATATTTCAGGATTTCCTCTTGAAGAAGAACAATACCCACGTATACTTACCGCTCTTCATAAATTTTTCAGCCCAAACTACTGCTAATCAAACCCAAGATATAATCATGGCTAAACTGGATAAGAGAAAGAAAGGTAAAACTACGTTTATTTTTCTCCTAGTGCCCTATTGAACTTTCACATATTTATCGAAGGGAATGATTAATTCTATGAACACTTTCGAGTTTCAGCTGGTGCTACTGAGTAATAAAAGGGAATACTGGAATCTGGCGTATAATAAATCCAAAACAAGCACTTTTCTCATTAACCAGAACTGCAATACTCCTCTCGACGTGGTTTTCACTAACCAAGCTGGCGTCATCAGGCGATGACGACAACTGTTCTCTTCGTATCCTGAAGATGTCAACTTGGTTATTCAAACTCGCGTGGAGAAGAGTATTTCAGTTCTGGTGACTGGGAGAAGTACTTGTATTTGGTTTTGCTGGATAATAATTTTCTTCTATTAGTAGTTTTTCATAATATTTGTTATAATCTTTTATTGTCAATAATTGCTTGGTTCTTTGAATGATGTTTAGGGGTTTTTGGTCCGCCTGTTACTAAGAAGTGCGTCATTTTTGTGGATGATGTAAACATGCCTTTGAAGGAAACTTATGGAGCCCAACCACCCATTGAATTGCTGAGACAATGGTTTGATCATGAAATTTGGTATGACAGGAAAGAGGTGGTTCCTATAAAGCTTATTGATATCCAGGTGAGCTAGGGTTACTGTTATGAGTTGAACACTTTGGTCCTTTATGCCCACAACCTCAGTTAATCAGTTTTGATGATATCATTCGACAACATGTACAAATATTAAAATTGTGTTATTAAAATAGATCACACCGAGAGGACTATCCGTAATGTGGTGAATAAATTTGAGTCAACTGGTTCAATAATCGAATAGAACTGGCCGGTACTCGATAAAAATCCATATTAAAACTCATTGATACCGTTTATTGTATGATTTTCACTATAAAGGGTTTCACAAAAACCGCTTGAGAAAGCTATTGTATAGCGAAATATGTGTCGCAACTTGTTCAGTAAAAGTTCGATTAACACCCGTACGTCGACGAAACGTAAGTCTGTCGAAAACATCGCCGCTGTCTATGAGAACATGCTGGAGAATCCGAAACAGTCATGTTCGCGTCGCTCACAAAAACTCGGCCTTTCGCAGATCAAAACTTGGCTATTTTTTTCTATATGCGTTGGGCCTGCACCCGTAGAAAAGTCAACTGACTAAGGAACTGAAGGTAAACCACCATAGACAACGCGTGTGCTCGTTGGATGGACTCTGGAGGAGTTTGCAACTGACCCTAATTTTCATCGAAAAATCATCTTCAGTGATGAGACTCATTTCTGGATGAAAGGGTATGTGAACAAACATGTACCTCATGTGGCTTGGTATCGATCCATACCAATCCACATGAGATCTAAGAGCGTCCAGTGTATCCCAAAAAAGTCACTGTTTGGTGTCGATTTTGGGCTGACGGCATCATCGGCGAACACTATCAGTGGTTGAATACCAACTTTTTTGTGCCTGAATTGGATACCAAAAACATTTGGTTTCAACAGTACGGTGCTACGAGCCACACAGTGATGTGAATTGGCCACCGAGTTCGTGCGATTTGACCTCGTTAGACTTTTTCTTGTAGGGTTTTATTAAGTCGCAGGTATATGCAAATAAGCCACAAACCACAGCGGTCCTCAAAGTCAACATAACTCATGCCATCGGTCAAATTCAGCCTGATTTATGCGCCAGAGTCACGGAAATTGGACATTCCGGATGCGCTTTACAGAGAGAAGCCGTGGCGGATATTTGAACGTTGGTATATTCCACACATAATGGCAACAATGAATCTATCAAACGAATACAAAATTTCGATGATATATCAGACACACACACTTTGTTTTATTCAAATTTGAAGATAGAAGCGCTTAATGAAAGACTTTGTAGTACAGGGGTTCCCAACCGGTGGTACGCGTACCACCAGTGGTACGCGGGAACGTTTTAGGTGGTATGCGTGAGTGATGTGAGCAACATGCTATTAATAGCAAACATGACTCAGCTCACGGTTCGCTATAAAAACGAAATACCCATAACCCAGTGATCCACCTGACATCTTTGTTTCTCTATTACATTGGAATTTATAATTCCTAGGTAATAAAACAATAACACTTTAGGAATTTCACCTAGGAATCCCCAGATAGTACAATTGATGAACAAAGGGTGTTTCATTTTTTACCTGTGGGTCTTCGAGAGTATTGTCTTTTACTTGTCTTGTCACTTGGCATTACATTGGGCTTTGTAATTATTAATTCTGATATCGTATAAGAAAAGTGAACTATGAAACGATTTCTGACGCCCTCTTCTACTTCAAAGGATTGTGCTGAAAACCAAAGTTACCGGCCAATCGTAAATACGATGAAAGCTACTCACAGTACGATTTTATAGTGAAGCCAGGGACTGATACCAGTGACATTCCTATTTCTCAATGTGTTATATGTCTCGAAACACTTTCGAACCAATCGACTAAGCCTTCTTTACTGATACGACACCAAAATACTAAGCACACTGATTTGATAGGTAAGCCCATTGATTTTTTTTTAAAGAAATTCAAATTTTTCAAAGAAAGAAACCCTATGTTTGACGAAGTTTGTCAATACTGATACTAACTTGATAAATGCGTCATACCTTGCTAGTTTAAGAATTGAAAAAGATGGAAAGCAATAGGTGAGACGCTTTTACTGCCGGCCGCTGTGGATATGGTTCAAGCCATGTTAGGAGAAAAGGCAGCCAAAGAAATTAAAAAATAGCACTGTCAAATAACACAGTAAAAAGACGAATTAACGATATGTTTAATAATATTGAAGAATAACTGGCTTTAAAACTCCAAGAATGCACTTGTTTTGCACTTCAAGTTGACGAAAGCACTGATGTTAAAAACATGGCGCAGCTACTTGTTTTCGCCCGATTTGATTATGATGAAGAGGTGATAGGAGAGTTTTTTTTCTGCAAACCACTTGAATCAAATACCTCAGCGGAACTCATTTTTGAGGTAATTGGGGAATATGTCCTCAAAGTAGGCATTCCCGGTCCAAGTGTATTGGCTTGTGTGGAGATGGGGCAAAAGCTATGTCAAGAAAATTGACAGGATCAGCAGCAAAAATGAAGGAAGTTGCTCCTGAATGCAAAAGTACGCATTGTGTCATCCATCGAGAAGCATAAGCTGCTGAAGGTATGCCGGAAAATCTTAACTCCGTTCTATCAGATGCTGTGAAAGTTATTAACTTCGTAAACGCTAGGGCTCTAAACACAAGATTATTATCCTTGATGTATAAAGAAATGGGTGGCAAGTTCAAAACTTTACTCCTGCATACATGAATGAGGTGGTTATCTCGCGGGAAAATTTTGAACCGTCTCATTGAACTGAGATCAGAAGTTTTCATGTTTTTAAGTGAAAAAATCAGGACATGAAAAAATTATTTACTGATGAAGAATGGTTTTCAAGATTAGCTTACCTAGCCGACATTTTTGACAAACTCAACAAACTGAACTTGGGACTTCAGGGACCAAACACAACAGCATTCACAGCCAGTGACAAAATAAACTCCTTCAAGAGAAAGTTGGTCCTGTTTTGTTCAGAAATACAGGCGTAGAATTGATCTGCATTCCCCACTCTATCATCATTTTGGAAGAAAATGAAATATCTCCAATGCCAGATGTCGTTACAGATATCATTGTTCACTTGAAAGGCCTTCAAAAAAGTTTCAAGAAGTATTTGTCTACAGATTATTCAAAAGTGAACTGGATCAGAAATCCATTTTCGGGAACCTCATCAAATGAATTGGAACTAAAAGAAAGTTTTATCGATCTTACAGAAGATAGTTTCATGAAAGATTATTTTGAAGAGAAATCTTTGACTAATTTCTGGATCGGATGTAAAACCGAGTACCTTTTGCTCTTCCGGTAAGCTCTGCTATTTTTGATGCCGTTTGTTACGAGTTACTTGTGTGAGATTTTCTGAACTCTTGTACATAAAAAATAAATATAAAAGTAGAATAAGTGTTGAAGAGAACTAAAGAGTGAAGATAAGTTCCATTACTCCTAATGTTGATATTTTGATCACAGGCAAACAACAAATTTACTATCATTTCATTTCAGGTTTATTGTTGCTTAATATAATTGTTATTTTCAACTATTCTTTTTTAATTATTCTTTTTTACTTGTTTCAGGGATTTCAAATCATTTTATATAATAGACAATGGAAGTCCGAACTAGTGAAACTTTTTTTGTGCCTGAATTGGATACCAACAACATTTGGTTTCAACAGTACGGAGCTACGAGCCACACAGTGATGTGAATTGGCCACCGAGTTCGTGCGATTTGACCTCGTTAGACTTTTTCTCGTAGAGTTTTATTAAGTCCCAGGTATATGCAAATAAGCCACAAACCACAGCGGTCCTCAAAGTCAACATAACTCATGCCCAGAGAAGCCGTGGCGGATATTTGAACGTTGTTATATTCCACACATAATGGCAACAATAAATCTGTCAAACGAATACAAAATTTCGATGATATATCACACACACACTTTGTTTTATTCAAATTTGAAGATAGAAAGCGCTTAATCAAATACTTTGTAGTACAGGGGTTCCCAACCGGTGGTACGCGTACCACCAGTGGTACGCGTACCACCAGTGGTACGCGGGAACGTTTCAGGTGGTATGCGTGAGTGATGTGAGCAACATGCTATTAATAGCAAACATGACTCAGCTCACGGGTCGCTATAAAAACGAAATACCCATAACCCAGTGATCCACCTGACATCTTTGTTTCTCTATAATTCCTAGGTAATAAAATAATAAAACACTATAGATATTTTACCTAGGAATCCCCAGATAGTACAATTGGTAAACAAAGGGTGTCTCATTTTTTACCTGTGGGTCTTCGAGAGTATTGTCTTTTACTTGTCTTGTCACTTGGCATTACATTGGGCTTTGTAATTATTAATTCTGATATCGTGTAAGAAAAGTGAACTATGAAACGATTTCTGTCGCCCTCTTCTACTTCAAAGGATTGTGCTAAAAAAACAAAGTTACCGGCCAATCGTAAATACGATGAAAGCTACTCACAGTGAAACCAGGGACTGATACCAGTGACATTCCTATTTCTCAATGTGTTATATGTCTTGAGACACTTTCGAACCAATCGACTAAGCCTTCTTTACTGATACGACACCAAAATACTAAGCACCCTGATTTGATAGGTAAGCCCATTGATTTTTTTTAAAGAAAATCAAATTTTTCAAAGAAAAAAACCCTATGTTTGACGAAGTTTGTCAATTATATGTGTGTACATGGGTCTATGTATGTGTATATATGTGTATATGTATATATGTCTGTGTGTGTATATATGTGTGTATATATGTATGTGTATGTGTGTATATGTGTATATATGTATACATATGTGTATATGTGTATATATATGTGTGTATATATGTATATGTATATATATTATTTTAATGTTTTTATCATCTGACAATTCTTTCCTGTTTTGTATTTATAACCAATTAATATAGAATAAATTAGGGAAAACTGTTTTTATTTCTATTCTACTGTATTGTTGTGAAAATATTTTATAGAAAGAAGACTGTATATATACATTAAGTACATCCACTTTTAACATCCGACAATCCATATTGGTTTGCATAATTTTAATTTCATTTAATTATCATGACTTCCTGCTCATTTTAAGCAGTTGGGATTTATGTACTATTATATTTAGGAGCTTTGTCAATAAGAATTCTATTCTTCAGATAATAAAGCATGCTTTGATTTGATTTGATTTGAATACTGATACTAACTTGATAAATGCGTCATACCTTGCTAGTTTAAGAATTGCAAAAGATGGAAAGCATCACACAATAGGTGAGACACTTTTACTGCCGGCCGCTGTGGATATGGTTCAAGCCATGTTAGGAGAAAAGGCAGCCAAAGAAATGAAAAAATACCACTGTAAAATAACACAGTAAAAAGACGAATTAACGATATGTCTAATAATATTGAAGAACAACTGGCTTTAAAACTCCAAGAATGCACTTGTTTTGCACTTCAAGTTGACGAAAGTACTGATGTTACAAACATGGCGCAGCTACTTGTTTTCGTGCGATTTGATTATGATGAAGAGGTGATAGAAGAGCTTTTTTTTTTCTGCAAACCACTTAAGGTAATTGGTGAATATGTCCTCAAAGTAGGCATTCCCTGGTCCAAGTGTATTGGCTTGTGTGCAGATGGGGCAAAAGCTATGTCAAGAAAATTGACACGATTAGCAGCAAAAATGAAAGGAGTTGCTCCTGAATGCAAAAGTACGCATTGTGTATCCATCGAGAAGCATTAGTTGCTAAAGGTCTGCCGGAAAATCTTAACTCCGTTCTATCAGATGCTGTGAAACGCTAGGGCTCTAAACACAAGATTATTATCCTTGATGTATGAAGAAATGAGTGGCAAGTTCAAAACTTTACTCCTGCATACATGGATGAGGTGGTTATCTCGCGGGAAAATTTTGAACCGTCTCTTTGAACTGAGATCAGAAGTTTTCATGTTTTTAAGTGAAAAAATCAGGACATGGAAAAATTATTTGCTGATGAAGAATGGTTTTCAAGATTAGCTTACCTAGCCGACATTTTTGACAAACTCAACAAACTGAACTTGGGACTTCAGGGACCAAACACAACAGCATTCACAGCCAGTGACAAAATAAACTCCTTCAAGAGAAAGTTGGTCCTGTTTTGTTCAGAAATACAGGCGTAGAATTGATCTGCATTCCCCACTCTATCATCATTTTGGAAGAAAATGAAATATCTCCAATGCCAGATGTCGTTACAGATATCATTGTTCACTTGAAAGGCCTTCAAAAAAGTTTCAAGAAGTATTTGTCTACAGATTATTCAAAAGTGAACTGGATCAGAAATCCATTTTCGGGAACCTCATCAAATGAATTGGAACTAAAAGAAAGTTTTATCGATCTTACAGAAGATAGTTTCATGAAAGATTATTTTGAAGAGAAATCTTTGACTAATTTCTGGATCGGATGTAAAACCGAGTACCTTTTGCTCTTCCGGTAAGCTCTGCTATTTTTGATGCCGTTTGTTACGAGTTACTTGTGTGAGATTTTCTGAACTCTTGTACATAAAAAATAAATATAAAAGTAGAATAAGTGTTGAAGAGAACTAAAGAGTGAAGATAAGTTCCATTACTCCTAATGTTGATATTTTGATCACAGGCAAACAACAACAAGTTTCGCACTAAAGATTCAGTGCGAAAGTATATTTTGTATGGTGATTAATTTTTTGCTGATTTTTTAATATTTTTTTATTTTTATGTTAATCTTTAATATATCCTTTTAAGTGTGTGTTTGTAAATGAAATATACTTAACATGAATCCGTTTTTTATCAAGACACATTTGTTTGTGTAGGGAGGTATCAATTCATCGACTGGTAGTCCAGTAACTTTGTACATCACAGCATGCGTCAAATACGGGAGTTCTGATTTTTTGCAGACTTGTTTATGATGTTGGCCTAATGAATAATCCAAGTTTGTGACCTCTAGCGCCGAACGCAGCTTTGCCAAAAATCGAAAATACCGCGAAAAAATTGAGTTTTTTCAAATTTTGGCGATTAAAATCCTGAAGAACTAGTTTTTGAAGTAGACTAAATTTGCTACAAGTTTGTGACCTCTAGCGCCGAACGCAGCTTTGCCAAAAATCGAAAATACCGCGAAAAAATCGAGTTTTTTCAAATTTTGGCGATTAAAATCCTGAAGAACTAGTTTTTGAAGTAGACTAAATTTACTGTCTACTTCTTCTTCCTTTCTGCCACAAGGAACTCTTCAGTTATTTTATCTCCACATAAACAACAATGTTCTGTGAAATTGAACTGCTCAGAGACTGATCTCGTGGCCTTTGATGGCGTAATATTTGATTTTCCACTGCTAACAGCTTCTTTGATCAACTTCGGATTGTTGTATTTCATCTCACAAGTACTGTGCACATACATATCATTTACGCCCTTCAATAAACGCTGATGTTCTTCTATGTTCTTACACCTCTTCCCTTCTCTAGGCGCACTTGACCTTCACTTTAAGTCTCCTTACAAATAAAACACAAACCCAGGCTGGGACTGGGATCAGACATTCTATAGATTTTGAGTTCAAACGGCACTCATGTTATGGGCAGCCAGTCAACAACTGAAACGAAAAAAATATTGGGATTCTTCATTAGGCCAACATCACAAACAAGTCTGCAGATATTAGAACTACCGGATTTGACGCATACTACCCCATACTTTCAGGCGACAAAGTTACTGGATTATGACATAATTCACCAGATTTTATTTGGAGTTGACATGTAACAAAAAATGAAGAAAATTTCCAGTTTCATTTCATTTACTCACAAAGTATTGAAAAATTAAAATTGAGTGCACAAAAGAGGCCTAAAAATGTCAAACTTCTCTGCAAGTAACTTTTCAACCAATGTACTGACAAATGAATGAACATTATCATTATCATATTAGATTATGAACGTTCTAAATTTTTGAGTATTTTCGGACCCACTGCATATTTCTGATACAAAGTTGATATAGCTTCAGTAGGACAGGATCCTCGAGCGTGAAAAATTCAAATCTTTGGAAAAATTAGGAGATATTTTCAAAATAGGTAGTGACACCGGCACGAAAAGTAGAACCGTAACCATTGTAATAATTTAAATTAGTTAAGAGATAAACTTCAGAGTGAAATAAAGTCATTTACAAAATATCACGAATTTTTAACGTTTGATGAAAATGTTGAATAATATAACGACTTTTGTGGAAAAGTTCTGTTTGATATGCCGCATGCACTTATTGAATGTGAAAAAAAAAACAATTGGAAATGAGGATTTTTATAATTTTCAACTCATGAACGTTTTTTTTTGTTTCAGTTTATGTGTGCTATGTGCCCACCGGGTGGGGGAGGTAACACTGTTACTCCAAGATTTACGAGGCACTTCAATCATATTTGCATTGACGAATTTCAGGATAATGTCCTGATTAACATATTTAGCAGGATTATGCTCTGGCATCTGGATACAAGGTAATGTATTCTCCACTCACCGTTGCATTCATTCACATTATTTCAAATTCAAATACCTGTTTTTGCTTGCAAAATAGATCTTCTCTATAGACAATATACCGGGGAGTAACGAAAAGTAAAATCATTATTATATTAATGGTTTTAGCAGATTAAAAATTGTGGACAAGCTCCTCAGCACCATATTACATTATCTCATTAGGTGTTTCTATATGTAGGTTGGTTATCTGAAGTTGAACTGTAAGAGGGTAATGATAGATAATTCATACTCGCAATATAATTAAAGTAATATTATTTATATAGCGGCATATATGTAAGTTATACATTGATGTTGGTATTGAATAGAATTAAAATATTGCGAAACATATGTATTGGAATATTGTTATACCTTAGAGTTACCGAGGAAATGGAAGAACATATGGCTATAACGAAATTGTTTCATAAATATCTAAATATTCTAACACAATATTTCCTACAATGTTACCCAAAATGAAAGTTTTGTTCACATTCTTGGAACTGTTCATGTTCATGTGCATGAGCATCAGCACTCATACGTCACGCCTTGTGACCTCTACAAGGCTTTCGACTATGTCTCACATAACATACTACTAGAGAAATTATACTACTATGGTTTCAGAGGGAGATCCTTGTCTCTCAATGAGACATATTTATCAAATCGTTATCAAGTAGTGAACTGTAATAATTCAAAATCTCAATATAAACTTGTAAAGCCTGGGGTGCCCCAAGGATCAGTACTGGGGACACTGCTATTCATTCCATATAAAATCGAGAAAGGTTAATGCAGTCAAGCTGCTGGAAAATAATTCCATGGAAATCAAAAGATAAATAGATAAGTACCATTCTGATCACTCCCATATTGATTTCAATTTAAGAGCCACCGGTAGACAGCTGTTTCAACCTATTGGGCATCATCAGTACCGGGCAGGCGGTTCTCGATTGAAGACAAAATGTGAATAACCAAGAAAAGTAGTTAATAAAAATAACTGCTCAAACGCAAGCGAGACATAAGTGGAACCACCTATTAGTGTGACATCCAAGTCAACTTGCCAAGTTTTTATGTCACTGTTGGTGGTTTGACCAATCAACCGACAACTGCGGTAGCAGAAATTTGGGAAGCTAACCTGAAATGCCATCGGAAAACGAATCCACATGTTTCTAGAAATGATATGAAATCTAGAANAAAATTCAAGACGGTTCGGAAAGTCTCGCGGTAACAGTGCCTGTACTCGTTGCAGATGGTGAGGGTATAAGAGTTGTTCCTTTAAAATTCGAAATACCGTCATATGATCAACATTTAGCTGGAAAGCAATTTTTCTTGTACTGGTAGTAGGTTGTTCTTCAATCAAATTAAGTACTGCTTCCTCAAACTGTGGTGTTCTTACTTCTCGATGGCGACCACAATTTTGCGTTCTTTTGTCGAATGAACCATATTCTCGTAATCGTTGATGAAGTTGAGCAAATATTCTATGTGAAGGATGCTGCCGTTGAGGATACATACATTTCAGCATATCTTCTAGAATCTTCTAACCCATTCCCCGGCGACAGGTCGTAAACGTAATGCTTATCAGCCATTTCCTCATTTGTGTATGCCATTTTAATAACAAGTGAATTATTAAAGTAACAAATTAAAAACAGAACAACAACACACAATTATTATTAATTCAATTTCGAAAATTCACAAACTGACAGCATCATACCAATTTAATTGTCACTATCGCTAATAGCGACTTACTAGATAGATTAGTTTCGTATTTTCGCATTTATGACGATGTATCTTACAATGGAAATAAATTTTAGGGGTTGCGTTTTCCACCCCTTACAACCATGGGGTGAACCAAATAAATTCCTGGCTAAGTTTATTTTTGATAGTACAAAACGTCAGGTTAATTTCAATATTGTAACTTTTTTAGTGCTTGTGAAAAAAATTGTTATACACATTTTATGTATCCCCTTTAAGGGGCTGTATCTTAACAAGGGATGCTCCAATGAAGTTTCTTTATATGAAAGATCCTTTTTTTTTCGATGAGGAATCACCTCCTTAAATGTTTTACACTTATTTAGTTACATCCTGTATATACAGGGCTATAAAAATTCGTTTCTGTACATGGGGATCTCGTAGACGATAAGAGATAAAGTGTCAGTTAAATTGTGGTAAAGTCCAAATTTTGATTTTGTTATCTTTTTTCTTAATTCGATCGATCAATGTGAATTTATTTCTTAATTTGTCAAATATGTTAATTTTTTGTTATATATTTAGCTTAAGTAGCCTCCATTTATACTGAATTATTATATTATATATTGTCCTGTAAATGTATTCATCTGTTGGGCAATATATTTTGTTTTTCTTTTCTTATTTCTACACCACTATAAAGTTTTCTATTTCAGTTTTTATTTTTTTTCGAATTGTGGAAGGCGCGAATCCCAAGGAAGATCCACAAAATGAAATTTTTTCCTTCATAAAAATCAGTAATTCAACAAACTTCGTGCTTTTTATACAATCAAAATTTGATTTTGATCATTGGATTTAATTAGCTTTGGGAAATCCGTTATGAATGGGATAAGAAAAATTTTTGTCTGTCAAACATGTTTCCATTTCAGTCGTTTTCACCGCGGAATTCAAACTTGAATTTTTATTAAAAATTCCTCGCGCTCCTAACATAATACGAGACACGTATGTCAGAAGACTCGCTCGCTCTTCTCCGATATTGTCTTTGCCCGGAGTTATTCGAAACTGACGTGATCGTACCACATTCAATTTGCTACGCTTATTTTCGTGATATATTTTGGCAGTATTCTGGAAAACGAGTTTTTCAGCGACCCTAATGCAGTAATGTTTCATATAGGATGAGACAAAAAAACAAAAAAAAAACAATATTGGTTCAGTTAAGTTGTGATAAACATTTTTGACGCCCAAAAAGGTATTGATTTTAATGCTCTATAGAACAAAATTTCTGGAAGATTCTTTGGAAGATTCTCTCATCTCTTTTTTTTTGTATCAGATGGAGTAGTAGAAAGCCAAAAAATTATGTTAGATTACTTTGTCCGTTTTCATGATTGTGGTCGTGATTGGCGAAGGTTCTCCCGGTGAGAGAGTTATCGAAGTGCTTGAAAAGATGGTAGTCGGTTCGCGAAATGTCTGGGGAGTATGGTGAGTGAGGTATAACTTTGACGCTCAACTCGTTTAATTCTCGGATGATGATTTGTGAAACAATTAAACGGGAGTTGTCGTGAAGCAGGATCGGGTCTCTTCTGTTGACCAGTACCGGCTGCTGCTGACAAATTTTCGGTACACTGCTGATGACCACCATACAGTAACCATGGTCCTTTTTTGGTAGATGTTCGCCTCTGGGTAGTCCCTGGGTAGCTGATGCGTGTCCTAACATCTTCCTGAACGTCTCCCGTTGTCGTAAGAGATCCTCTTTTCATCACACGTGGTGATCCTATCCAAAGAAGGATTGGTTTGGTTGTGGAAAAGCAAAGAAGAATTTACCTCCAATTATGACAATTTCTGTCGATCATTCAAATCATGGGGCACCCACTTTTCCAGATTCTTGACCATTCCAGTACCATCAAAAACTGGATGGGAGCTGACGTACAGTTCTTCCGCCATCCCACGCACCGTTTGTGATCGGTCTGTCTCCACCAGGGTCCTCAAATTATCGTTCTGGATTACTGTACGTCAACCACTTCGGGGCTCATCTTCGAGGCAAAAATCTCCGGAATGGAATTTCGTAAACCAACGTCGAAAATGCGTTCAATAACACTTTTCGGAAACAGAACTGTATAAGATAGTTCCTAGTTGATAGTTGGAAGCATTCCCAGAATGCTGTTACTCCAGCCAGTAGTTTGCTCTGCCCCGCATAAGCTTATTTTTTGCAATTGGCAATATGTACAATTTTGTATGCTTTCCATCTAGCCTTTATTTCCAGGAAGATGTGGAGAAGAGATAGACAAGCTTGTGAAACTTTCGGCTACCAGTCAATTCATTCACTTGTTAAGTGCGAATTTTTTCCTAAGTGTGCGTTTCAGATGAATTTTTCATCGAGGATAATACTTAGATAATTTACCTCCATTGTAAATGGAGTTACATTTTACAGACATCTGCTTCCTTTAGGTCCTATTCTGGATGACAATGTCATCAAACAGAATATCCATCAGGAGTTATCACAAAAGAGAAAGCGTATCCCACCCTGAGGAAAGTCCCAGCGTTCATCTTGAAGAATCGTGATTCTGTTCTGTTCACGAGTATGGCGTATATCTAACTAGTCATGATCAATTCTTTGATTTTTTCAGTCAAGGCTGATCCTGTAGAGTTAGTGTTTAAAAACAGCACCAATAATGTTTTTATTCAGATTGTAGGTGTTAAATGAATATATTAACTTTGGTTAACCAATCAATTATTATTTGAAGTGAAACCTTTCTACCCTTCACAAATGATATTTTCTCAGACCAAGTACTAGGTTTGTTCTGGATCTAACATCCGAAACTGTTTGGAAACTGGGCAAGACATGATGCGTACAAACAAAAAATATCAAACAGTCCGAAATAGTTTCGGACACTTGGTTAAACCAGAACCCATTTTGAGGAGACCACTGTGCAACCTATCGTATATATGAAGAGATGGAGACGAGAAAATACTGTTGATCATGTCCATTTTGTTATGTAGCGTATCCTTGTAGTCAGTTCAAATGTTATCTAACCTCAGTCATCAATTATTTAGATTGAATAAATAAAAAACATCCTAGAAAATAGCCCAAACAAATTTCCACATGATTGCGCATGAGCAACGGGAACAGTTCTCAACAGTTCAGCCTGGAGAGCAAGAACGATTCGTAACGGTTCAAGACAGTTTAGGATCACTTCACAGTCGAAATCAGAACAGAGGATTTATCAATCCGAACTTATCCTCAATCAACCCGAACGCTCTATATCAATTGCGCATGATCCTGACGTCCTAGATCCTGAATTTTGTAGAACCAGAACAAACCTACTGTCATTAATTTTTGAAAGGACCTCTTACTCACTATGCTGTATGACGATGAATGAAAAGAAGTCCATACCCATTTAATTGATAGGAAAACTCAACCTTTTCTACTATACTATACACTATTACAATTTTCATAATTTCCCAGTGCCATATAGTATTGCATTCAGTTAATGTCTGGGTTCTTATATATTATACTTTCCACTAATGAATAATCATCACAAATGTTCAATCAAAGTTACTTTTTCTATTGTTTTACTTCAACATATAATTTTGCTAATGAAATAACCAACACCAGAACAAGCCTGAATAGATCAAAAGCACCGTATTTCAAAAGCACGTTCCTAATCTTGGCTGAATCCGGAACTAAAGCAACGAAAACGAAATTACCTCTTTTCATGAGCGCTCTCCATGAGTAATTTTTCAATATTAATAATGAACGTTCTCTAGGGGCTTCTCCAAAGACTTTGATCCTTGCATTGAGGAAATTGTTCTTGCTACTTTGGACATCTACAAGATGGCGAGGGTAAACCTGCTACCCACGCCCGCCAAGTCTCACTATCTCTTCAATTTGAGAGATTTCTCCAGGGTCATACAGGTATTTGTTATTTTATTGAATCCTTGATTTATTCAGGAGCCATGAATGCTCGTATAGGTTTTATCAGTAATAACCGAGCCATTTCGCTGAACACGATCATATTTTGAAATATATTGTTATATCTCTTTGATCGAGAAAATTAAAAGTATTGGTAGTAAAACATAAAAAATAATTTTACAAAATAGGAGTTGGTATTGAAAACATGTTTGGGAATTATTGCATATTCAATCGAAAATTTTTCGATGTTCTTAACGACCTCGAACAAAAAATATGTCCACAGTTGTTGTCAACTGGGCAAATGAATGTAACTGTTATTCAGGGTAGAAAAAAATTGTTTATTGGTAGCAAAATTTGAAATATTTTCGACTTTTGAAGAATAGATGCATTTTATTGAATGCAAGAGTTTCTACTATAAATTAATTTAGAATATGGATTTTGGAAAAACGAACGTAATTAATGGAATTAACAGAAGTTAAATCTCAATGTTATATGAAAAAGTAATATTGAAAAGAAGAGGAATATGATTTCAAACGTAGTAACTTCAAAAAGTTTCGGTTGTAATACAGAGTTATTTCTGACGCCTCAAGACTACTTGTAGAGCAATTAAGTGGGAGTTATCCTTTTCCTTTCTGAAACGCGCAGTTCTTCGTAATTACTTGGTTTCTCTTCGCAGAATGTTCTTTTTGTAATCTTCATTCAGCACTTTCAATAACTTCATCAGTTCGAACTTCCATTGTCTAATATAATATAAATTGATTTGAAATCCCGGAAAAAAATTAAAAAGATTTACCGAAAATAACAATTTTATTAAACAAAAAACTGTTTTTCGTTTAATTAAATTGTTATTTTCGGTTAATCTTTTCAATGTTTTTCAGGGATTTCAAATCAATTTATATTATATTAGACAATGGAAGTCCGAACTGATGTAATACACCACGAAACATTGTCAACCACCTTCAGACAAACTTTCAATTACCTTTTGTCTTCATTGATGTAGGACTTCACCTAGTATTCAGTAAACACAATTCATGGAGTCTTTGTTTCTGTTTACCGACGACACCTCTATAGTATGAAACCATCGAGATAAATAACAAGACTTTTTTCTGAGAGGCTTCAACAGCATGAGATATTTAATAACATCAACAATAAAGAAGAAATCTCAAAATGAATAAACGTTTCTAGACATGAAAGTGAAGAGAACCGACAAATCGTAAACATTGGTTTATGTCGAACCAACACATGGGGTAATATTTAGGATGTCAACCACTATATCAATCTACTATGACAGCTTTGACAACGTCAAGGATCACAATAAGGAGAATTTACAACAGAAATAAATATTCAAAAAAGCTGAGAGAACACACAATTTGAACTCTCTAAGGAAGACAAGTCGTTAAAACTAAGGATATACCTACCTACAAAGTTGCCATAGGAACTCAAGGTGTGAATAGTTCAGAGTTTCACGTTTTTGTGAAGCTTCATTGAGTGTTTTTTGTAACCGAACAACTGAGGAATTAACCTCAGTTAATCGTTGCTTAGAAATCAGATAAAAGAAAAACCACTTGATTCAGATCAACAGAGGCTACAAAATGTCTATGCAAGACGGAGTCCAAATTGTTATATGATCACAAACTTTTGAGAAAAAGTTGCAAGGTTTTGTTTGTTCAAACCTGCATATAAACTAGGAGAAGACACTATAGAAACTTTTGATTTAACAGTAGCTTGTGTTGAAAGCTATCAGTTTTTCTTGTCCCTTCAGTACGAAAAAAAACTACCTTAGATGTGAATAACGGAAAGTGAGAGTGATTACTTTTAGAAATCATAGAAATCATCACAAAGTCACTCTAGGCGACTTCTGCTTTCAGTACATTTCTCAAAAAAAATGTTTGTTTTTGAATTTCTCTGTGGATTTGTAGTTTTTTATTCTTTCTGGTCAACCATTATGAATAACAATACCTCACTCTGATAATGATTTGTTGAATTGGTCTAATTTGAAACAGTTCATTTGCCTGGTATTATAGATATGGACATCTTTGATTTTTATGAATTTTGTGTTGGAGTTTCTGTAGTCGTGTATAAAAAATTGTAAAATTAATTCAGGTTGGTATACCTGTATGGGTGGTACACCTGGATGGTTTACCTGTATGGGATATCTATATAGCATAAATATCGTTAGCTTCGCGTTAGTTTCCAGTTTAATCTTACTCTTTGAAGATGATCACTTGGTGATCGAAACACGTGTCGAGGTGTTAAAAATAAGGATTTGGCGTTGGGAAAAACTCCAGTAATATTCAAATGAATTTGGAGTAAATAAGTGAAAAATAATTATTTTTCATAAAAATAAGGGGGACATCACAACTTTTTACAAAATATCAGAAAGAGGAATGACTTTGGGTTTTATTTTTTGAACATATACCTTCCAATTTACAATTTAAATATTATATAGACCAAGTAATCCAGTATTTTGGTGAAAGGAAATAACATGGGATGTTAATGTAATTAATTCTCTTTTGTGATTTCAATTTATGTTAAACTTAGATCAATTGAATATAATGAGGTTGTGTCACCTGAACAAATTTTTCACAATGTTGTTGTGTCAATTAGATAAAGAGACCGTTGAATACCCGAAAGCATCTGACGAAGACAGATGAAATGTCAAATGAGAAGTTACATTGGATTGAAAGTAATTTTCAAGAAGCTTCATAAATAATAATACATTCAACGAACATGAAAATCTTTGTGAAAACCTTCACTTTCTAAATCAAATGAAAACCATACTACTTTTTTTTCACCATACCCTCATTTCATTGAATGCCAGAAGAATACCTAAACTTATTTCTATAATAACTATTATCTAAGGTAGGTCTGGTCTTTGTTAAGTTAATAACCAATGATCAATATGTAGGGGGTTCTTCTTTCCGTTCCCGAGGCTATGGAAGATATGATGGCCATGAAGAGACTTTGGGTTCATGAAGTCCTCAGAGTATATTACGATCGCTTAGTTGACGATAACGATAGATCGTGGATAATCACCGCGCTCAGAGAAGTGAGCCGTGATAAACTGGAAGAAGATTTGGATGTAATGTTCGAGAGGCTCAAGGTTCCAAATGTCCCTGTAAGTGAAAAAATCAGTATTAATAATCACAAAATAGGCAAGAATATTCGTTGAGATACCTTGAAAACACAAACTCATTAACAAAAATCATATCCTCATATTTCACAAATACAAATTTTGTTCAAGTGATACCGATACACCGGCATGCCTGAAGAATATATCGTATGATGTTGATCAACATGTTAATTGAAAATTCATGTATTGGCTAATTCTGTCTCAAAATTGCAAATAGGTGAAAATATTTAATAGAAGAATTCTTGCCATTCAATTTTTTGAAAAAAGCCACTAGTACTCATTATTTTTAACGAAAAATAACCCTTTATATTTGGTTCTCTCTTATGGAAAATATTTTCAGAGAACGATCATTTTGGAAAGTGGTAGAAATTCAAACAGACAAGGAAGGTGCCAAAATCATTTGTGCCATCCAGATGTTCAATGTTGGTTTAGCAAAGCCTAAAGCGATGAAAATGACAGGTTCTAGTCCGATGAAGCTGCTTGCGGCACCCTCTTTTGCAAGGGAGTCAGCAGCCTCATTGTCTTTCAGGCCAGTATGGCCGGGAATCCAGACAACAGACAATCTGTTAAGTCTTTCTGTCGAGAAGAGTTGCTTTTGGCAATTTGCTAACAATTTAGACGTTGCTTGGTAGGAGCCAACGCCGCTTGAATGTCCGAAAATATTTTTATTGACATGTGCATGAGGTTAGATTCTTCCAATGTCTCCGCACACAAATCAGTAGCATAAATTTCTGCTTGAAATATAGTCGCATACGTTCCTAGGCAGGTTGATATGTCTATCCTGGGTTTGCGACTGAAAACACTTGCACCAGAACCTGAAGGTGTTTTCGATCCATCTGTGAACCAACAACTATCTGCTCTTAATATTTCCTTCTCCCGGAGAATCAAGTCCTTTCTACTCGGGAACAGTACTTCATAATGCAGCGCGTAGTTGACACCTGATCAGGTACTTCTCACAAGTGATACCGTAGGCTAAATAAAGGTTGGAGTAAAGAATTAGTTTTCAGTACGTTATTCACTATGAAAAAGCTACTGTGATAGGGAAATATGTCAAAATCGTTTCCGAAGTAGTTTGTGGAAAAATATATACGAAAATAAGAACAGAATTTAATATAAACTCAAATGAAATTATGCTCGGGAACGTTTCTCTCGGATATTTTCTATCTGAAAGGTTATCGATTAACGTTTACGTTCGGTTGTTTTTGCGATATACGTTGAATATAAGGAATTAATTCAGAATATATATAGACTTTTTCCAATATAAGAACAGGCGATGACGGCAGTTATTTCAAAATATCTTTCAAATCTATTGTGCAGAAAAAATCAGTCAAATTCTTTACCCATTAATATTTTATTAAGCTACTACTATGCCTATGTTTACTCAAGTCTAAATTATTGCT